TACACCTGTACATTTGAACCTGTGAAGGATCTTTATGCTTCAGTTGGTGCTGTTTGATGTAACTCTTGTATTTAGTTTCGTAATTGCAGTTGTTACACCTGTACATTTGAACCTGCGAAATATCTTTATGTTTCAATTGGTGTTTTTTTATGTATCCCTTGTATTTAGTTTCGTAATCGCAGTTTTTACACCTGTACATTTGAACCTGTGAAGGATCTTTATGCATCAGTTGGTGCAGTTTGATGGAACTCTTGTATTTAGTTTTGAAATCGCAGTCTTTACACTTGTACTTTTGAGTCTGCAAAGGATCTTTATGCCTTAGCCTCAGGTGCCTCTGAAGTAATTTTTCATTTTCAGTTTCGTACTCACAGGACTGACATTTATACTTTTCCAAATCGTTCTCGTGTCTCGCACAGTGTTCCATGAAACTGCTCTCACTTTCAGTTTCGTAAATACATTCATCACATTTGTACAATACTTTGCGCTGCTGCTTGGTTTTCACTTCTGATGCATTCTCATGTTTAAGTCCATCCTCTTCTTCATCTTTACAGTCACTCTCCTCGAATGGTACAATATTGGAGCTCTGAAGTGGCGTGTCGCTGAAAAAATTGCAAATACAGGGCATTTTTGAAAATGAAGTTTTAATTTTAAGAGATTACAGGTGACACATGCCAAAATATTGCGTTTCACAAGAATTACTCTAATAAAGGGGCATATTTACATTCGAAGTTAATGAGATGTGATTATTAATTATACATTTGTATGAGCGTACCGAAACAACTCGGTGCTTGATATCATTCCTATCGCCGTAGGATAGTAACTTCCAAAGATTTTTAGAAACAAACATTCAATTATAAATTTATGAACTTCACAAGGCATTATTTCGTTATTATTACAGTGAAATAATTTTTATTTTCGTTTTTGGGCATTTTATTCATAAGAAATACAGATCAATCAGTTGTGACATTTTGGCAAGGTAAATCTGTAGTTAGCCCTAGCAGCGACCAACTACATTTGCTACGACATAACAACGGGAAGAACCATTGCACTTTTTAAACCTATTAAAACCGGTAGGATTTTGAATTCTCATTCCTCTTACCCCTTAGGACAAAAGATAGAAATTTTGAAAGGCACACACAACAAAATTTTAATATTAAGTAATATCTCAATAAGAATACTCATCAATTTAAGCAAAAAGTAAAATCTAACGATTATCCTGTTTCTCTTCAAAGTGCTAACAACAGTTGAATCAACAATAGCACTAATAACATAATTTTAACGACAAATCAATTCAGATCTTTAATAATGAATTTAATTATCAAAAAAGGCATTCAAGGCTATGTATGTCATACATACATAAATCCATACACAAAATGCCAGAAACAGATAAATAAATTTATTAAACCTTAATTAAATAATAACACCCAGTATATTTTATTTTGTCAACGTTTTTTAGTTTTTGTTTTTTATCTTATCACAAATTTTAATAAACTAGTCGCAGAAATGAAAGGACAAAAAGAAAATCCTAAATTTAGGTGATTTTTAAAAGGCTGTAACATGGCAAAAAATAGTCGTAAAGCTATTGCTACAAAAACAAATTGAAGCTTGAAGTTTATATTTATATCGTTGACCACCTTTAAGAAATCATAAGAAATCCAGGGGGAAATTTATTTTTATAATTTTTACTTCTCTCTCAAAAGATCCATATCTCCGTATTTTTTTTTGTTTTTTGGTAGTCAGCTCTTTGATTTGAGTTTGATTTGAGCTACATTTATACATATGATGATTTGCCCCTGAGTTATCGTCACTCAGAGTAAATATAATTTGTTTGGCTTTGATAATTGCATGAGAACTAGTGATTGTACAGAAAATCTAAGCAGAGTTTTGAAAAGGAACGGACGTTACCAAGAGGGAAGGAATTACTTCTTACTGAAGAATACCGATCAATACTAGTCTCACCGTGATCGACTTTTTTACAGTCGATCGATTAAGTAGACAAACTTCACATAATATTAATATTTAGATCACATTAAATACAAAATTAGGCTCGGTTCATACATTGGAATGATAGCGAAAGATAATCGTTTATCGGAGATTAGCGCCTAAGTAAATTAATTAAGTTCGTTAACAATGAATTATTTTAATTCAACGAGAGCGACTTTTGAAATATATTTCTACTCTTATTTTTTTTGTGTAGGCTTAGTTAACAATTCAAATAATATAATAAGCGTTTATTTCTTGAAATATTGTAACATTTTTAATAATTTTTTTGTTTTGCAATTGTGTTCTATCTTCTATCTATCTAAGATTTTAAATAATACCTTTAAAATGGCGTAGAAATTAATTTTCTGTAAGAATGATTTAATACGGGTGTACAAATCAAGTCAAACTGGTTTTCTTCTTGTAATTTGCTTACATAAGCACTAATTATTTCGTAATTAAGTAACATCTGGAGCATTTTACGTGAAGTGGACAGCAAAAAAAAAGGGACGTTCTGAAAATTGTTCATATTCGGCTTAATTGTACTTCTAGTAGGTTCTAGTAGGTATGAATGTGAACACAATTTTTTTTGTTTGGTGTTTATTTGTCAAGTTATTTAATTTAGCGTTGAGCACGTGTTCACCACCTAATGTTTGGAAGCTCTGACTAATTTGTCCAATATTTAAGAAAGGAGACAAAGGAAATATTGAAAATTACAGGCCCATAACTATTATAAACAATTTTGCTGAAGTTATGGAAATTGCTTTATATAATAAAATGTATCCAACCTTCCAGGACAAATTTCTATTTACCAACATGGCTTTATAGCAAATAGATCAACAACAAGTAACCTGTTTTCCATAACTCAATTTATTGCTGAAAATATGGACAACAATATTCAAGTAGATATAGTGTATACAGATTTTTCTATGGCCTTCGATAGGTTGGATCATGGCATTCTACTTGAGAAACTAGAGCAAGCAGGGTTATCCCCTCCTCTCATGAGTTTTTTGAAGTCTTTTGTATCTGAAGAAATTTCTGTAACATCAGGAGTGCCCCAAGGCTCGATTCTTGGATCACTCCTTTTCATAGTTTTCATCAACGATATAATTGAGGAAACCAATGTAATAAGATACATTGGTTTCCTCATATTGCGGATGATGTGAAAATTTACTGTGACATAAATACCTTTTCTGACTGCTTAAAACTCCAACAATGTTTAAATGGCATAAGCGATTGGTGCAATTTAAACAATCTTCCCTTAAATGCAGATAAATGTAATGCTATGACATTTACGAATAAAATATTTCCTATTGTTTATAATTATAATGTCAAAAGTTTTAAATCGACCAGGTTCCATTAAAGATCTAGGGGTTACATTTGACACTTGACTAACTTTTAACCTACATGTAAACGAAGTTATAAAAACCTCGTATAAGAATTTGGGATTTGTTTT